TCATTCACAAGCCTCGTCTATTGTAAAGTTCAATGGGCTCAATTTCCATGAATGGTGTGAACAAGTTCAGTTTCACCTAGGTGTTCTGGATCTTGATTCAGGACTCCTGTATGACAAACTTGCTGATATTACTGACTCTAGCAGTGCTGAAGAAAGATTTTTTTCATAAGGCTTGGGAAAAATCAAATAGACTTAGCTTAATGAAGACCGGTTTTTAATTTTAATCTTCCACGTGTGCCTTGCACTACAAATAACAAATGCCCATAATACTTAGTACTATAGATTGTTGTGGACTAGTGAGCAGTGGGGGGTAAAGGTGAAGGGCATAACTTAGGGTCAGTTACTTGAATTGGGATCCTCTCCTAATGAATCCTCTCCTAATATCTCCTAATAAGAAGGTCTTGACCTTTGATTTATCAATCAAAGGCCAAGATCTTATCCTTATCTCCCCCTACTTTTGTGCATGAGAAGATCTTGACCTTTGATTGATAAATTAATGGTCAAGATCTCATTAGGAGATATTAGGAACCCTCTCATTAGGAGTTACTTGCCCAGCCCTTCTCATCCTCAGGATCGGGGTATGGCAATTCGGTAATTATGCCCTCCTATCTTTTTTGCCCTTGCGAGGAGAGGATTCGGGCTCTCTATAAATTTCTTCTTTGTCCTCTCTACATTTTGAAACGAAAGAATGGCATCGCACTCTGTCATCTCGCCGCTCCAACCCATGTGGTATAAATTCAATCAATTTTCTTTTCCTTTTCGATCCGATATAAGAGATATTTGACGGTTTCTAGATTTCTTTAGGAAAAAGCTATATGATAATAGCTTAATTTCTGTCAAGTTCTTGATTTATGTGCGATACCGGTAGCCATGGAAAATCCCTCTGTTAACATAGCTTAATTTCTGTCAAGTTCTTGATTTATGTGCGATACCGGTAGCCATGGAAAATCCCTCTGTTAACGAGCGTTCAAAATCTTGCCATGGAGAAATTAACCGTTGTTTCGTATTTCAGATAGATGCTTGTCAGGACAAAATTTCCTGTTGAGTAGATTATAACATTTTGATAGAGAGAGCAATTATGAGTCTCCATCATATTTATGATTCTAGTAATATTCATGATGGATTAGGATCATAGCTATCTTTGAAATTAATTCTTGCTTGGTACTACAATTTAAGAATTCATCAGGCGCTACACGAATAGTTTTGTTAAACAGGACTTCCTGGTCATTTTATTTCTCCATTTCTTTGGATGATAATAGTTTTCTTTCAGATTCTTGATTTTATGTGACATAATGGTTGTCATGGCAGTTCTCTGTGCTAATGAGGCTTCAATTTTTTTTGCTTTGTAGTAATTAACGATAAAGAAATTTCCTTCATCTTCATACTTTGTTGCTTCATATTTTGGATAAATAGTTGACAAGACATCCTGTGAAGTAGATTTTATGTGCATCATTTTTGGATAAAACTACCTACTTTGTTATATTTATCGAACTTTTCTCCACTGTGAAAATGACCTACAGAAGCTGTTATTAGTAGTCACCTTAATAAGATCACTAGTTATTATTTCCCTGAGATGATCACTAATTGAATTAAGCCAATAATTTTGATTGATTCATTTTACATTTTCCGAGAAAAAATAACGCATTTAAGCAAGCTATGTGTCACTTTGTTTGTGCCATTTCAGGAGTTTTATAACTATTTTTCTTTTCTATTTTCTACCTTACAATTACGGTTTTCGATCATTTCCGATAGCTTCAATGAAAAAGAATGCATGAGCCTGTGTCATATGATTCTAGTAATATTTCTCATCTTATCTTTGTTCCTATATATTTCCTGACCAGTTCCAATTCATGCTACCATGTTTTTTTCATTGTTAATTCTGAATGAAGACTGTAAAATTTCAGTGGCTGCAAACAATTCCATATGAATTCGTTTCTTCTTTTACGTTAATGATTGACATATAAAGTGATGTTGCCATCTGCAATGTATTCCTTAAAATTGGTATTCCATGTTATTTGCAATGTTTTTTTGGTAACATGTTATTTGCAATTTATATAAGTAATATTTTTTTAGAAAATACTGTTCAGGTAGCATCCAACTATTTAGAGAGGTTTAAATATAGAGCTGTTTAAAAGACATCACTTCATTTACTGTATTAGGCGTATTTTTTGTCAGTATCATACTCTCAAATTTATGTAACAGTATTTTTGACGTTGTCATTGTCCGAGGCTCACACGTGTGACTATAGTTAAACAAGAGGTTGTGTACGTAAGTTTAGGGGCTGTTTGGCTTTTTTTTCTCAAACCATTGAAAGTCGCTGTATCTAGGAAACAAGTGGGATTTTTTAATGCCACGTTACCCTCCAATTTTATCAAACAAACAACATTATGCTTGAAAGTTACTGTAGCCTGACATCTAGGGTGACAATCGAGCTAAAAAGAGACCAACCAAACAAGCCCTATTGTAAATGTGACAGTTGATCAAATCACATATATCATGCATTTAATGCTAATATGTGATTGTTAAGGAAATGAATTTCAATTTTGCGAGAATTTTTCAAATGAATGAAAAAACTGTTCTTTCAACTGGTAAACTATAAATGACATAACATATTAGTTTGCTAGCAGTTGAAATCTAATAACAATGAGATAAACAATTATATACTGGAATATCGATTCCTCGTGTGCGCGCGTGTAGAAACTCTACTATGTAATCTGTATCCAAATCCTACCACACTTAACGTGCAAAAAGATTCTGGTGCTCATCCATCTGAAAAGTGCTTAAAATCTCAAATGTCCATCTACTTTTTTCTCGTAATGGTAGAATCTTAATTCTACAAATTGAAAGGCTCAGAATGCTTCCTGCATGAAAAATGTTATGATTTTGGGACACAAGAGATGGGATCTGTATCTTTTCCTTCACCTCCAATTCAGTAGAAAACATGCGCCTTCCCTGCTTATTTCATACTTCACCTTCCATCAGCAGAAAGCGCATGCATTCCCTGCCTATTTGATACTCATAAATAATCATATGGTTTAAAACTTACCAGCATAACCAACATGGTCCAACCAAAACAACAGGCTGCAGGACCATTAAATTGCAGAGCATCATCAACTCCAAACAAAAGAGGAAATCTTAAAAGAGACCTGCGACACGTACCAAAACAAATGCTTGTTATAGATCTATCACAACTATAATCCAAAAGAGTATTACAATGGCCAAACCAATATCCAAACTATTTTTATTTTTCTAACATTTACACCTCTGAAGAAGCACGATCTAAATAAGAAGTCGCAACTGAAGCATGAAATGCCGCTCCAATAGGGAGCACCTCCCCATCCAGAGAGAAGTAAGGAGAATGCAAAGGGTAAACATCCCTATGAGATTCATTTCTGACACCAATGGAGAAAAGCACTTTGCATCTTACTTCCAAAGAAACTAAAGTCTTCCGCTGTCATTATACCATTGGGCTCAGCTCAACATTATCTTGCCCTAAAAGGGTCTCCCCAATTTGCGTGGTTGTACATATTCTCATCGTTGATGGTTGCAAGATAGGGTATCCGGTCCTTCTCCATGAAGTCTACTGTGGCAGTGCATCGGTGCACAGTGGACTATGCCTCTATGATTTGTAGCGAGAAATTTTTCAGAAAACTATCAAATGGGTTATTAGGTAGAGATATATGGGCATGACTTCATACAATATCAAGACCTGTCAGCAGACTATATTTGTAATTAATTTAGCCTAACTCAGATTCTTGCTTAAAGATCTAACTAACTTTTCCTAGATATTAGATGCAATCATTATCATTAGCAGTCTGATTCCATACGAAACCCATAAGTTAAGGTTGTGTTTGGGTGAGAGTAATACAAGGATTAGGATAGTTATCCAACTGTTAAGGTTGTGTTTGGCACCAATTCAATCGGTTTCTAGATTTCTTTAGGAAAAAGATCTATGGGTTTTATTTTCTATTTGCCTATTCCGATCCACGTCGGACTCATCTGTGAGGTGTTAATTCATCATAGCTGATCAATTTCCTTTTGACCTTTTCGATCCCCTTTTCAAAGATCTGCCGATCTCATGATTTCTTTCATCGGATAGAAATAGATCTATGGGTTTTAGGTTTTATTTCTGATTCTGATCCACGCCGGACTCGTCTGTGAGGTATAAATTCGTCATAATTAATCAGATTTTCTTTTCCTTTTCGATCCTATATAAAAAAATTGGCGATTTTTCTTTGTTATGCATTCAGTCTACCTTGAAACCATCTATCTGAATGGGGAGATGTATAAAAGTGTTTACTTTGAGTTGTTCGACTTTTACTTCTTTTTTTTTTTTTTTTTTGTTTTGTGTTTTTTTTTTTTTTTTTTTTTTTGCTTTGTGACAATTAACAACTGATGCTTTTCGACTAATCTCTAGATAAATGAAAATATCTGTTGGAACTTCTGCCACAGTAGATGCGCAGTGAGATACTAGATGCACATCAAGTCCAGTATTTAGCTAGTCCAACTAAAGTTTGAAATTACCCAGACACCTAACCTCTTGACTCAAAGATGCCATGATTTGACTTTAATTGGTTTTTCTTTTTTCTAGCATCATTTCATTACTACCACTACTACTACTTTGGTTTTATATCGGATTTGTTCCCTACAGAATTGATGCCGAAAATCTTGTAAACATAATGAGTTTATAAATGATTCCTAGTTGCTCTATCTAGTTTGTAAAACTTCCTGTGTTTTATATTCCTATTTCAGCCATATCAGATTATCCATCATCTTCATCGACAGTTACATTGGTAATTGGTGCTCAAAAAGTACAATGGTTTGGCACCAATTCCTTGTACTTTGTCTAGTCATAAGACTTAGGACACATGTATAGCTGCAAACCGCTAGAGTTAATTATTATTTATCACTTGTTGATTTACTGTTCAATTCCTTGAATGGACATGTAGGATGCAAGGATTACAAAATGATGAGAATTGGACAGTTGACTTTTCATCTTCATTTTTCTTAGCTGAGCATGTGTTATACTTCTCGATGTTTCAGCCCAATTTTAGAACTTACTGGGTTTGCTTCGATTTGACAAATTTTGATATGAACTTACCAAACTGACCGCTATTTCTTGGTTCTTTTGAGACCCACTCTTCATTTCTTTCTAACTTGCCTTCTACCTTTTCCTCAGTGTATTTTTTTTCTACAATTTTAATTTATATGCAATTTTCTTGCATTGATCCCTTATTCCACGTGTTTTCTTTTTCGTTCTCTTGGTTTGCTTCTTTCTTTTGGGTCAACATAGCTTATGTTTTTAACTTAATGGTCCAAGTCCAAAGCGCATAGATGGAATTGAGCAGAAGTGAACTAATTTTGTTCGGCTTTGAAGCTACATCGCCTTTGTTTGGTTTGGCAAAATTTTGTCAGAACTAATGAAACCGACCGTTTGCATAATGTTAGCAGTTGTAATTTGCATGCTGGATTGGTGCCAGAATTGGGTGCCAAATATTGACTTGTCGTGGAATGTGTTGGATTATGAAAAACAAATTTTAGGGTCTCAATTGGATGAGATTGGAAGAGTATTGAAGGCAGGGTACTATTATAGATGATTTTGGAAGAGCGATTTGAGTTACTATCTGTGTGTGATTTCTGTGTAGTTTCTGCTGACATTTTTCTCTGAACTTCTTTCTATGGTGAATTTTCAGCAAAGAGAGTCTGATAGCTCAGACTGAAAAGGACATGTCCAAGGCCTTGGAGGAGATGAAGTCAACATTAACCGATCAAGTTTTTATGGAATTTGATATACATGATGTCATAAAAACCGTCGCTGAAGGTATTGAAAAAAATAAAATTCCTCATACTGAAGTAGTGCGCATCCTATGGGATGCACTAATGGATACAATTGTCTATAGAGACGTCAGAGTGCGTCCGGAATTACTTGAGTGTTATGTATCTACCAAGGTATTTTCTCTTCATATGTACTCTCTGTTTCTTTGTAAACCTAAATAGATTGTTGATTCTTGTAAAATAAAATTTATGTTTGTAATATAGTGTACCGATGCTCTTGATAGCTGTGCATAAATAAAGTGAAAATATCCTTTGGAATGCTAGCATTTTCACCTACAGCTTTTCCATTTTTCTTCGTTAGTTCTACCTTCTGCATGCGCTGTAAACTCAAGAAACTGAGATCCCTCAAAATATACCTAGACTGGAAGAAGACAGTAAATATCACAAGTCCACTTGCATTTTGTTTGACGTCCCTTATCTTATTATGGTCTAGAGAGGGCGTCAATGCTCCAAAGCTCCAAAATTTTCAGCCTGTGCTGGTAGGCTTCTTTTGGCAGATGGGACTCTGGTGGTGAACTGTGCATTGTTTAGCAAATTGTTTGGTTTTTTGTTTATGTACTGAACACCGATGTTTCGGGGCATTTCATTTCCAGATATTTCACTCATATCTCAATCTATTTAGAATTTTCTATTTACAAAATTTGGGCAAATCATTTTTCCCTCCACTTTTTACGTTTTGGTTTTCTGATTATAGGGACGCCTCAGACTATATCAATACTTTTTGCGCCTGAAGTCATATTTGAGTTCTCTTATGTGTTGTACTTGTCTACCTAAACAACCCCCTCCACGCCCTCCAAAAATTTGAAAAAAAATAAAACAAAATAAAATTTTGTTTTCTTGGGTTGTAGACCTTGTTTTTCTTTTGTCTATAAGTTGCAATGTTTGTTCACGACCGGATGGAATTAATTGAATAAGCGCATTATTTAATAACCACTATCAGGTTTTGCATTTGTCTGTTCCTTCAGCATTACTTTGCGAATCTTTATTTTCTCACCCACAGGTGTTTTTGCAGTCCGAACTTTTGCGTGCATTTTGCATAACTGAAGAGTGTGAACTTGAGCTGCTTAAGCAAGTCCATAGGGTCCGAACTTTTGCGTGCATTTTGCATAACTGAAGAGTGTGAACTTGAGCTGCTTAAGCAAGTCCATAGACGATCCATCAAGGAGCAACGACTGCATAACTGAAGAGTGTGAACTTGAGCTGCTTAAGCAAGTCCATAGACGATCCATCAAGGAGCAACGACTGCGAGGGTTGTTCAAGGAAGTTGTTGATGTCCTATATGAATTCGATGTGCTTTCCCCCAGTACTATTCATCAATGGTTCTATGACCACATAAGCGCTGTTGACAGGTGTGCAGTTATACCTTGGTCTCTTCAATTAGTTTTACCAAATTCCTCTTTTTTTTTTTATTATGGGGTACATCATTTATGTGTTTGTTTGGCATTCTGAAACAAAGAGCAATAAAATATATATTGTCCAAAGAGCAACAAAATATATATTGTAACATTTTCACGTTTCTGTCCAATCGCTATCATAGGCACAAAACAATGTCTCACTCTCAGGGGTGCCCTTTTCATTCATTTGCTTTTTTGTATTAATCTTATTCTTTTTGATGTTGCAGGGAAGAAACTTTTGTGAAAGATCTAAAGCCAGTAGTCGATTGAATTGAGAAAGAAATGATCGGAAAATGCTGAGTAAAACGGAACATGTTTTGTGTGTCAGAATAGCATTCTTCCCTTACTCTCTAAGAACCTCTTGAGTGAAGACGCAACCGGTACCCCTTCGTTTCTCCTTAATTTATGACGCCAGCCAAATTGCATAAGAGGAAATTCTGTTATTTCCCCCTATCATTTGTATGGGTAACCGTGACAATAAGGTGTCGTCATTTGATTTCCAGCCCATCAAATTATTCATAAGACCATCTCCAACCGAGCGGCATTTTGAGGCAAAAAAGGGTTTTGCCGCTGCGTGAGGTCTCCAACCTAGCGCCATTTTGGGCGCCATTTTAGCGGTGATGAACAGCGCGACGCCATATTTGGCGTCGCACTGTTCATCACCGCATTACGGTTTTTTTCCAATTTTTTTTATTTTTACCTCATACTTTTATGTATTTATAATTTGACCCCAATTGTTTTATTAAATGTATAAAACAGCCCCAATAATATTTAAATTTTATAATTTTACCCCAATTGTATAATTTGGACAAAATAAATTATTTTTTAAAAATAAAAATAATGCTAAAAGTTAAAAGACAATATTATCAATTATAATATTAAAATCTAGACATTAAGTAAAGTCCCATGAAATATAAAGAGCAATCCTAATACATAATTCAAATATAAATTACATATCTGAAATACGTAACATATAAAAACTGACACGCATAATATAAAACTTCATTAAAATAAAACATAAAATACAAACTAGACATGGAACATTTCCTGAGATGGACAAGCAACTCTTAATAATCTGGTAGATCGGGGCCAGAGTGTCCAATATCATTGAAATAATTACCAAAATTAGAAGCAGACCCTTGTTCTTGTTGATTTCTTTTTTGTATTATTTTAATCTGTTGAGCTCGAACGTACTCACGCACATTTGGATCAGCAATGGAATTCAAATCTTTCATTATAATTTTCCATTCATCTCTATCTTTTTTCATAGCTATATTTTCTCGTTCGATATCAAATGCTACTTGCCTGTCCAAGCTCGCCTTGTCTAACCTGTCTATAAGTCGGTTGTTGGAGGTCTCGATGGAGTCCACTACGCTTGACTCATGATCATCATTTTTTTTCTTTTCAATTTGGCTTTTTTTACCCCCAATAGGTCGTTCAGATGGAGTAAATGATGACAGTCCAGGAGATGTTGATATAGGAGATTCCGGAGTGGGATTATCTGATTGTGACGAGTCGAAGTTCACGTTTTGGAGTTGTCTTCGACCAACTTGTCTTGCTGTGGGGACATCATCTTTAAATTTTTTAAAATTTTTAACCATATTCCAGACATGATCAAATTTGAAACCTTTTTTGTACTTTGGTTCTTGCATAAATAACATCTTTGCTCGAACTAACTGCAAATTATAGTGAACATCAAGTTATGTATTTCAACAATAATAATAAATTTCAAAAGGTAATTAATAGAATACTTACAATATCTTCATCTAAGCACCACTCAGATTCAGATTCTCTACTTGTCTTAAGCACGCATTCAATTTCCTTACTTCATTACTTATGATTTCCATTCGAGAACGAATTGATCGGCTCGTACGCACATTAGAATTTTGGTCTTGAAGTTCATTGTATCTGTCCTCCACACGAGACCAAAATGCATCTCGAGACTAGTTTCTACCGATAATAGGGTCTTGAGAAAAATCCAAGAGTACTTGACAAAGGAGCACATCTTCAGTAACCGTGTATCCAGATGATCGAACAGACATTTTTTTTTTGTAAAAAGCGGTTGGTTTGGATATTAGAAATACTTTGAAGAAATACTTCGAATTGGGTGGTTTGAAGTAGAAACCGTGAATGTTATTTATAGTCAATCCAAATTTTTTTTTTGTTTGAATTTGAATTTGTCGATGGTCAACATTTGAAATTGAATCGTTGTGGACAAACTGATCAGCTTTACACATTGTCCAACGTTGTCGATGAGAATCATTTTTTGAAAACTGATCAGCTTTACACATTGTCCAACGTATACACAACTTAACTTTCCTTGAATTGTGTGAAAGCTTTGTACGAGTGGGAATCATTTTTTGAAAACTGATTAGCTTTACACATTGTCCAACGTTACACAGCTCAGCTTTCCTTGAATTGTGTGAAAGCTTTGTATCGATGGGAATCATTTTTTAAAAACTGATCAGCTTTACACATTGTCCAACGTATACACAGCTCAGCTTTCCTTGAATTGTGTGAAAGCTTTGTACGAGTGGGAATCATTTTTTGAAAACTGATCAGCTTTACACATTATCCAACATATACACAGCTCAGCTTTCCTTGAATTGTGTGAAAGCTTTGTACGAGTGGGAATCATTTTTTGAAAACTGATCAGCTTTACACATTGTCCAACGTATACACAGCTCAGCTTTCTTTGAATTGTGTAAAAGCTTTGTATCGGTGGGAATCATTTTTTAAAAACTGATCAGCTTTACACATTGTCCAACGTATACACAACTCAGTTTTCCTTGAATTGTGTGAAAGCTTTGTACGAGTGGAAATCATTTTTTTGAAAACTGGTCAGCTTTACACATTGTCCAATGTATACACAACTCAGCTTTCCTTGAATTGTGTGAAAGCTTTGTACGAGTGGGAATCATTTTTTAAAAAACTGGTCAGCTTTACACATTGTCCAACGTATACACAGCTCAGTAAAGTTTTATAAATAGCATACTAGATTAGGTATCCACACAATTATTTGTTGTTGTGTTAAAATTATTATTCTCCATTTCTGCATACCTCGGTCATTCTTTTCTTACTTCAAAAATGAATTTCAATGTTGGAGGTCCATCATATTTATCATCATCTTCATCTTCGGATGATGATAATTTTCTGACCAATATCATTACAAAGATTGATGAAACCGAAGAAGTAATTTGTAAGTACATCAACAACAACATGATCATCGCTAACAATTTACGTCAACAAAACTACAACCGATCCATGGTGGCTCGATTCCCGGTCATGCAGTGATCAACCGCGATCGAGAAACTGCGCATCAGAATTTGGTCATGGATTATTTTGTCGATAATCCACGTTTTGGAGAAGATATGTTTCGTCGTCGATATCGGATGTCAAGAAGTTTGTTTATTCGTATTGTTGATGCAGTGAAAGATCATGACCATTACTTCCAACAACGAAGTGATGGACTTGGTAGAATGGGATTATCACCGTTAAAGAAAGTAACAGCTGTTTTTCGCATGTTGGCATACGGTCTACCAGCTGATGCTACGGATGAATATGTTAAAATAGGTGAGTCAACAGCAATTGAAAGTATGACAAGATTTTGTCGTGCTATGGTAGAGATATTCGCAGAGCGGTATCTACGAACACCTAACGCTAACGATATTGCTAGGCTACTCTATATTGGTAAAAAACGTGATTTTTCAGGAATGTTAGGAAGTCTTGATTGTATGCATTGGAAATGAAAAAATTGTCCAACAGCATGGTCTGGGCAATACACAGGACGTAGTGGGTCACCAACTATTATCCTTGAAGCTGTGGCAGATTATGATCTTTGGATATGTCACGCATATTTTGATATGCCAGGCACGAATAATGATATCAATGTGCTAGAGTCATCTAATCTTTTCTCTAACCTAGCTCAAGGTATTGCTCCTCCCGCTCACTATGTTATTCAAGGAAAAAAGTATAATATGGGTTATTATTTAGCTGATGGTATATATCCAAAATGGGCTACTATTGTACAAACAATCCAACAGCCACAAGGTAGGAAGAAAAAATATTTTGCCATGAAACAGGAAGCATGTAGAAAAGATGTAGAACGTGCGTCCGGAGTTCTCCAATCACGATTTGCAATTGTGGCAGAATCAGCACGTTTTTAGAAAAAACATGTATTACATGACATAATGACTACATGCATTATTATGCACACTATGATAATCGAGGATGAACGTGATCTTTATGCACCAATTCAAGAAGTGAGGGAAGCACCAACACCAGCCAAATTGCATAAGAGGAAATTCTGTTATTTCCCCCTATCATTTGTATGGGTAACCGTGACAATAAGGTGTCGTCATTTGATTTCCAGCCCATCAAATTATTCATAAGACCATCTCCAACCGAGCGGCATTTTGAGGCAAAAAAGGGTTTTGTCGCTGCGTGAGGTCTCCAACCTAGCGCCATTTTGGGCGCCATTTTAGCGGTGATGAACAGCGCGACGCCATATTTGGCGTCGCACTGTTCATCACCGCATTACTGTTTTTTTCTAATTTTTTTTTTTTTTACCTCATACTTTTATGTATTTACAATTTGACCCCAATTGTTTTATTAAATGTATAAAACAGCCCCAATAATATTCAAATTTTATAATTTTACCCTAATTGTATAATTTGGACAAAATAAATTATTTTTTAAAAATAAAAATAATGCTAAAATTTTAAAGACATTATTATTAATTATAATATTAAAATCTAGACATACATAATATAAAACTTCATTAAAGAGCAATCATAATACATAATTCAAATATAAATTACATATCTGAAATACATAACATATAAAAACTGACACACATAATATAAAACTTCATTAAAATAAAACATAAAATACAAACTAAACATGGTGACGTTACTTAAGATGGACAAGCAACTCTCAATAATCTGGTAGATCGGGGCCAGAGTTTCCAATATCATTGAAATAATTACCAAAATTAGAAGCAGACCCTTGTTCTTGTTGATTTCTTTTTTTGTATTATTTTAATCTGTTGAGCTCGAACGTACTCACGCACGTTTGGATCAGCAATGGAATTCAAATCTTTCATTATAATTTTCCATTCATCTCTATCTTTTTTCATAGCTATATTTTCTCGTTCGATATCAAATGCTACTTGCCTGTCCAAGCTCGCCTTGTCTAACCTGTCTATAAGTCGGTTGTTGGAGGTCTCGATGGAGTCCACTACGTTTGACTCATGATCATCATTTTTTTCTTTTCAATTTGGCTTTTTTTACCCCAATAGGTCGTTCAGATGGAGTAAATGATGACAGTCCAGGAGATGTTGATATAGGAGATTCCGGAGTGGGATTATCTGATTGTGACGAGTCGAAGTTCACGTTTTGGAGTTGTCTTCGACCAACTTGTCTTGCTGTGGGGACATCATCTTTAAATTTTTTAAAATTTTTAACCATATTCCAGACATGATCAAATTTGAAACCTTTTTTGTACTTTGGTTCTTGCATAAATAACATCTTTGCTCGAACTAACTGCAAATTGTAATGAACATCAAGTTATGTTTTTCAACAATAATAATAAATTTCAAACGATAATTAATAGAATACTTACAATATCTTCATCTAAGCACCACTCAGATTCAGATTCTCTACTTGTCTTAAGCACGCATTCAATTTCCTTACTTCATTACTTATGATTTCCATTCGAGAACGAATTGATCGGCTCGTATGCACATTAGAATTTTGGTCTCGAAGTTCATTGTATCTGTCCTCCACACGAGACCAAAATGCATCTCGAGACTAGTTTCTACCGATAATAGGGTCTTGAGAAATATCCAAGAATACTTGACAAAGGAGCACATCTTCAGTAACTGTGTATCCAGATGATCGAACAGACATTTTTTTTTTTTGTAAAAAGCGGTTGGTTTGGATATTAGAAATACTTTAAAGAAATACTTCGAATTGGGTGGTTTGAAGTAGAAACCGTGAATGTTATTTATAGTCAATCCAATTTTTTTTTTGTTTGAATTTGAATTTGTCGGTGGTCAACAGTTGAAATTAAATCGTTGTGGACAAACTGATCAGCTTTACACATTGTCCAACATTGTCGATGAGAATCATTTTTTGAAAACTGATCAGCTTTACACATTGTCCAACGTATACACAGCTTAACTTTCCTTGAATTGTGTGAAAGCTTTGTACGAGTGGGAATCATTTTTTGAAAACTGATTAGCTTTACACATTGTCCAACGTATACACAGCTCAGCTTTCCTTGAATTGTGTGAAAGCTTTGTATCGATGGGAATCATTTTTTAAAAACTGATCAGCTTTACACATTGTCCAATGTATACACAGCTCAGCTTTCCTTGAATTGTGTGAAAGCTTTGTACGAGTGGGAATCATTTTTTGAAAACTGATCAGCTTTACACATTGTCCAACGTATACACAGCTCAGCTTTCTTTGAATTGTGTAAAAGCTTTGTATCGATGGGAATCATTTTTTAAAAATTGATCAGCTTTACACATTGTCCAACGTATACACAACTCAGTTTTTCTTGAATTGTGTGAAAGCTTTGTACGAGTGGAAATCATTTTTTTGAAAACTGGTCAGCTTTACACATTGTCCAATGTATACACAACTCAGCTTTCCTTGAATTGTGTGAAAGCTTTGTACGAGTGGGAATCATTTTTTTAAAAACTGGTCAGCTTTACACATTGTCCAACATATACACAGCTCAGCAAAGTTTTATAAATAGCATACTAGATTAGGTATCCACACAATTATTTGTTGTTGTGTTAAAATTATTATTCTCCATTTCTGCATACCTCGGTCATTCTTTTCTTACTTCAAAAATTAATTTCGATGTTGGAGGTCCATCATATTTATCATCATCTTCATCTTCGGATGATGATAATTTTCTGACCAATATCATTGCAAAGATTGATGAAACCGAAGAAGTAATTTGTAAGTACATCAACAACAACATGATCATCGCTAACAATTTACGTCAACAAAACTACCAACCGATCCAT